TTTTTTTTTTGCATTTGATATTGTATCTCTTAATAAAATGTAGCAGATTTTTTTTAAAAATATTTAAATCGGCATTATTTCTCTTATTGTGGTTCAAAGTTTTTTCATGTTATAAAATTTTTCAGTTCGTCGATGATTTATAGGTAGTCAATTGTTGCATATAGGTAGTCAATTGTTGCATTCACTGTTATTTTCATGATGTTGCATAGAAATATGCTTTTTATTTAATTTTTATTATTGTTACTTATCCCACATATTTTTTAATTTTACACGAAAATAATCTATACATGTTAAGTATAATACACTATGAATTTAGTTTTTATTGAATCGATAATATATCTTTAACTTATTTGTCTATAACATTTTAAAAAAGATATGCTCAAAGAACTGGTGTTTGACATATAAAAAAAAATAAAATCAAATAATTTTGTTTCATATATTAGGATAAGATTTATATACTTTGAATAAAGATATGACTTATCTCAAAAAGAAAGGAACAGAACACTACACAAAAAAAATGGATATGTGGCACGTCATTTTATACACTTTAAATTTTCATTCGGTTTTCTGTATTAAAAAAAATCCTAATATAGTATGCTATAAATGTTGTCCGAAATTTTTGGATTACTATTTATAATAAATAGTTAATCTTTTTATATAGATATAGATTACAACTGTTGGATGAACTAAAGCTACATCCAACAGCATATAAAGTTCATCCAACAGACTATTACAGCTCAACAAATTTTTGCATATCCGGGCCCCGCTTCTCGTTTTCGCGCCGGGTCAATGGGTTACAAATTTTTGAACCTGAATCGCCCCAACTATTTTGCGGTTCCTGTTTCATATTCGACCCGGTCAAATTGTTTTTTTCATCTATATATATATATATATATATATATATATATAATTACTACCTAATAGCATTAATAAAATCTATTTAATTTTAACTATGTAGTAATTTAACAATTTTTCGTCCACTTTTGATGTATTTAATCTTTCATTTAATTATTAGATAATTAACACTAATCACTTTTACAAAAATCATTTTAAATTTTTTATTACTAACAATTGACCATATAATGTGTTGACTGTATAATGTGATTAGATATTATTAATGTGGTTACATTTAAAATATTTCTTTAAATAAAAAACGTATTTGAAATTCTTAAATAAATAATAAATACTTCACAAAAAAAAGACGTACGAAAATATACATTACATCCAATCAGATAGACGCAATTTAAAAAAAAAATTTCAACTCCTTTAATTGTAAATTTGGTTAGCAAAAAAGTGAAAGAGAATAATGTTATCATCCAACTCGGCAAAACATCATTAAGAAGTTTTAAGCATCAGTTCAGTGACATTAACTATTGAACCGACGTGATCCAAAGTCGCGCTGGCCCACGCAATGAACCGGTCCAAACTACCAAAGACCGAAGTGGCCGATACCTACCGAGGTCTACTAAAACCGAGGTCCTACCTCCTAAGAACGAACCGAGGTCTCACCTCCTAAAGCAGGTGACAAGGCGTCTACACACCTATCACAACCCCCGAGATTTATCATCATTCACGTGGGACCCACTGCTACAAACCGCCCACCAAAAAGTTACTTTATACGAAAAATAATACACGTATCCCAAGATGTATATCGAAAAAGCTACTATAAATAGCGAGCCTATGACATTTGTTCGGAGATCCCGAACTCATTAATATGCAACACGTAAAAGCCCATAACGGCTCTTCACCTCGGTTCACCTCGGGCCGGGGCCATTGTTAAGTTATTTTTTACATGTTTTACGTTCAAACCGTTCGTAATTATTAACTTAATCGCTTGTTATATCGTTGTTACAAATCGTATAACAACAAATAAATTAATCATTATTACATACATACAAATAACTCACAATACTTCATTTACATATGTGCAAATGCACATGGTCGAATACTAGTTTATGAGAAAAAAAAGGTTTTAGTAAAAATTGGCACCACCTTCCTAATGGGTCGAACAAATCTCGGCTGTCAATCTAGGAAACATATACAATGATCCAATGGTCTTGAACTTCAAGATAAACATTAGGTGGCCCATCGGTTCAAGATCTAACCCACCAGGCCAACTGGCTTGGCCTAGTCCAATTGTAGCCCCAATTCCAAACCTTGGTCAACTGGTTTGACGGCCCAGTAGGTCGTACCACGGGCCGACCCGACCCAGTGGCCACGTCTAGGTCCGCATAGACAGACGTTCTCAAAGACTACAGCTCAAACTGTACAAAACTGGATTCTTCTGGGAAAATATCCACAAATATCCCGGCACTTTGAATTGTACAAAACTGGAGATTTCTGGGAAAATATCCACAAACACCAACGCACTTTGAATTTTGATTATTTCGCGCCCACCGAATGCAGCGAAAATGAAAGACCTTCAACTTCAAACGCCACAGAGAGAACCAGCCTCCGCTATTCGCCGACCAAAATCCGCCACCGACTTCAGCAAAAATCTGCGCAAGGTAGAGATTTAAACACCAAATCTTCATCAAATTTGCGAAAAATCGTCCGATAATTTATGTTCTAATGGTTGTCAGGCCTCGAAGAAGAAGCTGAGTCCCGCATTTAAAGCAGTATCCGGAGATGAATCTGCTGTTTTGGAGTCTCTGAAGGAAGCTTCGGAGGTTTCTGATGATAATCCGTTTGCAGAATCTGTTGAGGTAGCTCTGATTTGATCTTCTGTTTTCATTTTAGGATTATAGTCAGTTGATGTATCTGTGATTATGTTTCATCTGCGTTATTTTGATGTACTCAGTATGGCGAACTAATTTCTGCTGAACAATTTATTTATTTATTTATTGGATAGAAGATTGGAGAATTTTGTTACTGATTTACAGTGGCCTTAAGCTTTCTGCAAATTGAATTTTTCATTTCGCTGTTGACAGGTAGAGGTTTAAACATCAAATCTTCATAAAAGATGCTAAAATCGTCCGATAATTTATGCTTTAATGGTTGTCAGGCCTCGAAGAAGAAGCCGAGTCCAGCATTTAAAGCAGTATCTGGAGATGAATCTGCTGTTCTGAAGTTCCTGAAGGAAGTTTCGGAGGTTTCTGATGATAATCCGTTTCCTGAATCTGTTGAGGTAGCTCTGATTTGATATTTTGTTTTCATTTTAGGATTATAGTCAGTTGATGTATCTGTGATTATGTTTCATCTGTGTTATTTTGATGTCCTCAGTATGGTGAACTAATTTCAGCTGAACAATCTTATTGGATTTTCCAGTACTTTCGACAGTGTAATTTTATTTTTCCAATAGAAGATTGGAGAATTTTGTTAGAGATTTACAGTGGCCTTAAGCTTTTCTTCAAATGGATTTGTTCGTTTCGCTGTTGACTAGTGCTGTTAAAATTCATTACCCTTGATTGGAGGACATATTCATAGAATACATAACAGCACATAATCTAGTTGATTTGGTGTTTATGGATATGCTATGGAGAACTTTGTCATTTAATTCATAGGCATAGCAGGAAGTGCGAATTCATTATTTGTTTGTGATCATACATAATAAGTATATGAAATTATTCTGAGTAGCAAGCATATAGAGACCAGCATTTCAATTATCAAATTGCAAACTTGTGGATGATTTTAAAATATGACTCGTGGTCTTTGTTTTCAGGAATAAAATAAGGAAATGATTTTGTTCGGTAGTTGATCGGTAGCTCGAACACATCACAGCTAACTCAGATGCTTCGTGTTTTTTTCTTTTTTCTTTGATATAAGTGATTATATGTTCTCCATAACTAGTTTCAGAACAGTCACATTATCTTTCTGCTTTCAGAACTTCATTGCACTAATGGACCCGATGGGCACGCCTTCATCAAACAAAGTTGACATCTCAAATCTGAGTTCCCCAGTATTATCACAGTTCTCTGTAGTCACTTCAGACAATCTCGTAACCCTCAATGCCTCAGACACCAAATGTGAAAATTCTGGAGCAGATTCAAACAAAGAGGAAGTCTCGGATCTGACTTCCCCAGTATTATCACAGTTCTCTGTAGTCACTTCAGACAATCTCGTAACTCTCAATGCCTCAGACACCAAATGTGAAAATCCTGGAGCAGATTCAACTCCCGACGAGATAAAATCTGTCGAGGCAGAGTTGGTGATTAAGCATCTAATGGAAGCTAGAATTCAGTTCTTGAAATCCAAGAATGTTGGCTCTTCCAAGAAGATTCTGGAAGCACTCATTAAAATCATCATTGAGGAGTTCAATGGAGTTATGTATGAAGAGAGTGGATGGCTCGAGAAAATTTTTCTGTCCAAAAAGGCAATTATGGTGTTCTGTAGTCTTGTGATGGGGATTTGGGTGGTGCTCATGTTTTGGTTCTTCAATTTGCAGTACGAGCAATCTCAATTCAGGGGACCAACACCAACTTGATGGGCTACTTGTGAAGCATTTTAGGTATTATGAACATATACTCTTAAGCTGTTTTGTTTGGCTTAGCCGATTAGGAGATGGAGTACTATGAGACTGAGTGATCGTATTTTGAATTGCTGGTTTCGGGCTTTAAAGGACTTGTGTGGGATACTTGTGTTTTTAGGATAAATAGGTCAAACTTCATTACCAAGGACATGAAAGTATGTCACTATGATATTGGCTTCCAACATTAAGGATTCTGTTAATATTTGGTTGCTGCTATGTTGAGGTTAAGAAATATGAATGTGTGTGTTTGTGTTCAGATAGGGATAATTGTTTAATGCTCGTGTTAGTGGCCTATATTCATATGTGAAAAAAGCTATTTCTGATTTTGTTTTTGTCTTTCGATACCAATCTGCATCTCCACCATAGTAAAATTATGATGTTGCTGCATATAATCTTATCTATGCAGAAAAGCTTGTTTACTTGGGTTTAGCTACACAGATTGGAAAATTTCTTCGTATAGATCATACAACTAATCTAGAGGGCAAGGGGTCGATTTGCTCTTCGGTATCTTACTGAACAAAAAGAGTCTTCCTCCCGCAATCAAGAATTTTGATTATCCTAAGGTTTTTCTGAGAGGTAACTATCTAATTTTTGCATAGAAATTATAAGAAGTGACTTGGACAAAAAAAAGAAGCTATCACCATAGTAAATTAGATATTGCTGTGCATAAGGATTCATATCTCAATTTTTCGTACTTTATCAAGAAAATCCCAAATGATGGTCAAATAGTATCTCACCAAATTTCATCACATGGCAATCTCTCGATCTTTGTAAAAGATTCGAAGAAGTGTTTGGTGTGATTGCCTACTGTTTTTTCTTTTTCCATTTGTTTCTCGATGAACTCATCCCATCGTAAACACGTCACACGGCTTAGCATATCATGGTATGCATGATTTTTCAGAGAACGGTCACGAAAAATCACCGAACGAAGACTTTTGGTGCTTACTTTTTTCGTGTTCTCATATATAGTTTACCTTCCGCGCGCAGGTTCATGAACTTAGTACACCCTCACAATCACTAGTAAGATATATGCACATGTATTTTGTGAACTTTGCACGTCTAAATTGACCTTGAGCTCTTCAAAAGGAATCTTTTCGTGAACAAAAAATATTCCTCCTCTGATTTTTTTTCATTTTTAAAACTCATGAATTGGACTTAATGAACACATAGGCATCGTATCCCCACATAATTCTCGTGCCTGAATTCTTCTAAAACTGACTAAACTCCAAATACTCCACCAGCCTGTCTTGAACCATTTTCACTGGATGGGCTCTAAAATACAGTATAACAAGTCATGCTAAACCGAAGATCATACAGTTCTACACCTTCTTCTTAGTATTTTTCTTAATAATTCGTATAATAACATTTAAGAGTACCGTTAAGTAGGTCCAACGGTTAGGCAGTCATACTTATTAAATTTTAATACATATTGAAATGTCGTACTCTAAAAAACAACATAATCGAATGTACGGCATTCCTTTACACAAAGTATGCCTTTCAGATAAAATGTATGTGTTACTGCACATATCTGAATTGATGTGTTTCCTGTTTAGTATAATAATAGGTTTTATTATTTTCTAATATATCTATTTCAATTTTTTTATATTCAGTAACAGCAGATATTATTAATAAGTCTATCTACATTACTAATAGATAAAATGATTGGCTGGATGTCACAAATTTTCATCCATTATTAGCAAGTTGAACAAACCCATCTGCTCCAGGAAAATGGAAGGATATGTGGAGCTTTTGTGCATACACATTCTCATAAAAGATCCAAAATCTCCCTTCTTAAAGAACAATAAAATAAAACTATGGAGCCATTGAAGGTTCAGACATAACCAAGTGCGGCCACATTGGGTTGTCTTTTTGGTTTATTTATTGTTATTATTTTAAATATTTTTTTTGGTACAAGAACCTTTCGGTTTTCGGATCCACAGGGGAACCGACTAATACGGAATCGAGCTGGGTAGGACCACAAGGGCGGCAAAGCTCTCCCTCAAGAGTTTTAACACTGCTGCATTCGCAGGACTCGAACTTGAAACCACTGGTTAAGCTGGAAGAGACCCAAACCATCTCATCCAAGCGCTCTTGAATTATTATTATTTTAATTATTGGACATCCCAATTTAAATTAATACGTTTTTTTTTTTTTTATATATTCTGATTTTATTATTATTATTATTATTATTGTTATTATTATTATTATTATTATTATTCCCTCTCTGTGCACTATGATTGCTGTGGCATCCAACTAGTATTACATGAAATAGATCAGGAAATTATGGAAGAGGCTAGTAACCAATCTCTCTCCCTCTCTCTCTCTCATTTTGTTTGTCTTTAAATTAATAGTAGTACTAATACCCATGTACAATATGGGTGTTGAGTTAATGAATATATATGTAAAGTTATTTATGTCTAATACCAAATCTAACTTTAGAGCAAAAATAATATAAAAACAATATCACGAAGCATAGATTTTCGCCATGTCAGCATCCGAAGCGTGAGAATCTGCCACCTAAGCTCAACACATTTTGAATTAATATATAGAGAGGGATTTTTAGAAATTAACTGCATCATTGCATTCATATGCTTGTAGTTGAATATGATTGTGAAATGTTGGAGTAGCCAGAGGATATTTTTTTTTTTTTTGGATACAATTTGATTATGTTTGATTCATAGTTTGTAATTGTCAAAATTTACCAGAGAAATCCTCTACATGAAAAGCCAACAAGATCACGAAAATCGGATGGTCAAAGTCGAGCTTAGGTAGCTACCAATGAGATTGAAAAACGGATATACGCGTTTGATATGGCTGCATAGACTGAAATCTGGGAATTTTGTAAAGATACGAAAAAAAAAATAGATTTTTTTTCAATCTTAGTTATACTAATTTTGCAAGAATTGAATTAAATCTTAGTGTTAGCTACAAAAATCTATCACATGGTTTTAGCTTGTTGGCACAAAAGGCACAATTTCAAGATTTAGAATCGCTTCATGTATACTATTGTATATTAATACAAAATATGTCTTAAAAATTCAATAAATTTAGATTGAACAACCGACGTGCTTTCGAAATTTCCTTTTTTTTTTTTTCAAAAAAAGGAAAACGAAAAACAAATAATTAACGAAATTAATATAAAAAAAAAATGTGGTTACTTTTGGCACGTTGCATGGGTTAAAGTGGTTCCCGTTGTACTTAACAGGCTGTCTACCTTTCTCTAAAGCTATTACAAGACTAATCACAATTTTTGATAGACACCAAATCTCACCCACACAATGTGGATTATCATCGATTGAAGGGGGAAAATGGAAAATCAAAGGAAAAAAAAATCAATTTATTTTCTTCCAGTGAGAACAATTATTAAACAAAAAAAAAAAAAATCAGGAAATTAATTCGTTCAAATTTCACTATGGCAGAAGAAATAATTGTAATAATAATAATAATTAAAAACAAATATGTGCGATTATTTCAATTTGT